CTGCTATCCCCTCCACTGCATCGATCTCCCCACTACATTGAAACTTCCTCGCTATGGAGGGGATAGCGATCAGGAAAGTAGGGGCAAGAAGTCCTGGTCAGTTAGCCAGTTCTGATCTAGCCCAAATAAAATAGAGAAATCAAATCGCGACAGCGAGTTTCAAGGGATCGTTGTAAAGAAAGAACTTTAGTCTTCGAGACCATGGTGGATATAAAAATTTCAAAGCTTTTGTACATGTTTGAACTTCTCGAGAAAATATATACAAAGTTATGTATCAGTTTAAATTGTCGAGAATTTTTTACTGTCATTGGTACAATTATATTCTTCAAATATTTAAATTATTTAACAATTTTGGAATAGGTAAAATTAAACCAGTCTAAAACAATGACAGTATACAAATGTAAAATGCTGCAAATCCTCGTTTTTCTTCAAATATTTGAAATTTGATAAATATGTATAGACTATATATACAAGCTCATTCACGTAATTTGTATATATAGTATAACTTTTGCGTTTTCAACTAATGCGTCTAATGAAAAATTGTTTAGTACAAAAGTTGTAGTTGGTTTCGAAATTTTCAAGATCATCTTTACGTCAATTAATATTATTTCGATTTGCGATGAAAAAAAATATACGGTCCAATTAAAAAAAAAAAATAAAAACGAATTTGGAAATTTCGAAACCAACCCCCAAAATAACACAAAAAATTGATAATATTTTACCTCCCTCCAAGGACCATACAATAATTTTGTAATAAACAATTTTTCATTAAATGCATAATTTAAAAGTCACTTTAGTTGTGCAAATTACGTGAATCATTCTGTATAATGACTGTACAGAGTTACAATTTTCTACTCATTTTTCGAAATAATTGGATTTTCACAAACATCCTAATGATACTTTAAAGAGGAGAGCGAAGATGAGTTATTATCGTTTGCTGCAGAGGATGAGGATTCGTCGAGAATTTAGCAAAGCTATTCCCTCCGAATTCGTCGGATCGTTTGTCAGGTTATTTTAGTCGAAGGAGAGAAACTATTGGTTCCTTCTTTCCTAGCGAAAGTTCCATTTGTATCGTGGACGTTAGCGGGCTGTTTTATAAAACACATCCAGTTGTTTCCCGGACGAAATGATTTCAGTGTTGTTGGCTGGTGGACGCGAAGCGTTTTACCATTTTTGCCACTCGATTTCTTTCGCTCTCGTGGACAGAGGGCAGAAACGTGCGTGCCGATCGTTATCGAGAATTGAAGCAAACGATAGTGATAGTTTTCATGATAGTTTTGCGACTGATGGTATCACGAGCGCGTGCCGATCTTGAAGAAGGGCACAGAAACCACCGAAACTTTCGAAATTTGAAGTTCGAAATCTGAAACAGGTTCGAAACTCTCGAAGTCAGGTCAAAAAAATAATTTGCATCTAAACTATAGAGTTTAGAAATCTCGATTGATAATGACTCATCCATTACGATCGTTTACATCGAGAGAGAGAGAGAGAGAGAGAGAGAGAAAAGACGTAAAAATCTAGTTTCTAAGATGTAAAGAAAGATTTCAGACTTGAAATTTGCAAATTAGATTTCGAACAAAGGTAAGGATAAGATTCTCTTAAATCGATGTTACATCGATCGACGACTTCCGATTTTACGGCGGATGAGAAGGAGGAGGGTCGTATATTATATTTAAGCATCATCTCGCAAAATATTGTTGTGAGTATGGAACCTTGTATGTTTCATTTCAGACACGCTCAAAGACGCGGAGAAGGATAAAGAGGAAACTGAGTATATGCTACAGGAGAATGGCGATCCAATGTACGAATAAGATTCTTATGTAGATGGATGATATTTGTTAAACAATAATTTCAAACAAAGAGATAAATAGCACGACGTAAATATGGGAATGAGAACGATTGTAAAAGCTTCTGGAAGTAATTAGGAGAAATCCTGATCGTCCCAGAGACTGGAAATATCGTATAAATTTATTCGTAACAATTTCTTTTTATTGTAGCAAGTATACCTCGCGAGAGAGTGCTCCCAGAGATTGGAGATTGAAAAACTTGAACTTTCCACTTTGGCTCCCATTAATATTCGGACACTAAACGCTTTAAATTGTTACAACTTTGAAATGAAAATGACATTGTGCAGCAATAAATCTGTGCTCATTCTAAAGCCTCTACTTTCAAAATGTAGAATTCATTTTATTTTAAAATTACCTTTACACTATGTGAGGACACACTTTCTTCTCAAGAATGTTATAAATTGTCATAGTGCGTAAAAATATTGAACAATTTTTTTTTTCATGATAATTTGATTTACGTTTCTTTTTTACTTAATTCTGAGTATCAGACTTATTGTTAAATTTAAGAGTATTTGTTTGATATTCAAAGTTCAACAAATTGGCAAAAAAAAAAAAAAAAGAAAAAATTGCACAGTAAGTTTTGAATGATTGTCATAAAAGGGAGAGATGTTTCGAAACATCCATTGAAATCTGAATTGAAGATTCAGCCATAAAAAAAATTTCCCAATGCCTCTATGCTGTGACGATTTATAACGTTTTCGACGAGAAGAGTATCTTTATTCGTCCATTCGCTGCGCGACGTAAAAACATCTCGAAACAAAATAAACGATGACTTTTGAAAGTAGAGACTTCAAACGTTAAAACAAGCCCAGATTTATCATTGTACGATTCCTTTTCACAAAATTAGATCGGTTTCTTAACTTGCACGTTTCATCTGTAGAACGAAATATTTGATTTCTATAGAATATCATATGTCGCAATAAATGAACAATGAAAGCGTATTTTTCGTCTGGTTATTCATACTATTTTAAATATTATCCCATTTTCATCTTTTAAATTCTTGCACTGTTCGATTTAGCACTAATTTTGTAACGCCAATTGGCGTTTCATTTTAACTGGCTCGTGCCTACTTTCAATCATTTTAAAATATTTATAGACATAGGGAAATGGCGGTCATTAGCGACCAGCGTAGCAGTCGACGTGTTAATCACCGGCTGTTTTCAGTCGAATTGCCTCTCCCAAGCATCTGGAAGTACTCTCGCGCAATCGAATTTTCCACTTGCTGTTGTGCAAGATGCCATGCAACAGACAGCACATCGACGAATAAATAATTGTTTGCACAAATTTAGTAGAAATTTTTTTTACTAAAAGATCGATACCGCTTTGTGTTCACAGTGAGTTCGTGCCGCCACAAACGAAGGAGGAGGAGAAACCCCCTTCGCCGGAACAATCCTTGCCACCAGTGCCTTACTTCAAACTCGTAAGTATCGTTCCCTCGCAAGAGGAAGAGGGAGAAAAGAAATAACGAAAGCGGAGATAAAAGAGTGAGAGAGAGGAAAAGAGAATTTCGCAGCGGAAGAATGGCGGGCGACATTTGTTAAACATTCACGCGTACGTGCCGCGTTACGGTTGAAATATCGGGCCGGGTGCAGCCTCGAATCAAACGACGAGATCCATCTTCCGACCGGCGGCAGCTACCGATTCGGTGGTCCCTTTGTCTTTGACAAACTTTAACGAGCGCGATTCCCGTTCCGATCGATCGATTCGATTCTGCCTGGTTGTTGTTTTTGTTTAGAACTAGCCAGATCTCCGTCCATTAATCACCGGTTAGGCCGGCATTAATTTTCCCCGAGGGTTAAATCTCTCGGAAAGGCAAAAGTTGCCGGGCACTAAATCACTCGCGAGAATATGTTTCTGAAATTTTCGACTAGTTTCGCGACAAATTGCCCCGTCAACGCCGCCTCAGCCGCTGCCTCGGCATCTCGCGGGAATTGCCAGCGGGAACCCGTCATTCGGAAAATTAACATAACGTCGATGCTCGCGTGCAATTAATTAAAGTACACGTCCGTTGCCACGCCACCTCCCTCGTCTCCCTCTTTCTTTTTCCACGAGAAATTTCGCCACGCGGTTCGCAAGTTCTGCGAATCTGTCGGTGTTTAATCGCCGGTGTTTAACCAGCCACGCCTCGTTCTCTCTCTGTTGGCAGTTTCGATTTGCAACATGCGGGGAGCTGATGCTGATCATCGGCGGCCTGATCATGGGAACCCTGACCGGCCTGTGCATCCCCATTTCGACGATACAATACGGCGAGTTCACCACGCTGCTGGTGGACCGCAACATGGAGAACCAGACGAGCACGCCGACGCTCATACTGGAGTGGTTCGGAGGAGGAAAGGTCCTGTAAGTAGTCCAGACAAACGTCTGCACCACCTTCGAGTTTCGTATATGTTTCTAGCGCGAAACCGTTGCACGTTGCACGTTAACGAGAAGATAGACCGCTCGAGGAAGATATATTATTATTATAGCTATGCATCGTTCCGTGTTTCGTAATTCTGGTTTCATCGTTGCGCGTGTGAAACGATGAAACCAGGTTATAAGCCGCGGTAAGTAGCGACAAGGAAACGAACGATCAGGCAAACGAGAAGGGATTCGTGGTTGCAGGGGACCGGAAGCGTCGAAGGATGAGAGGATGAAAGCGCTGTACGATGACTCGGTCGCGTTCGGCGTGTCCTCCGCGGCGTTGTCCACCTTCCAGTTCTTCTTCGCCGTGTTCACGGTCGACCTGCTGAACATCGCTGCCTCCAGGCAGATCGTTCGGGTCCGCAAGATGTTCCTGCGCGCCGTTCTCAGACAGGACATGACGTGGTACGACATCAACACGTCGACCAATTTCGCCAGCAGGATGACCGAGTAAGTACACCTCGCTCTCTTGATCGATAATTCGTTAAAAAAGGAGGGAGGGGGAGGGGGAGGGGGGG